ATAAAAAAAAAAATTTTTTTTTCACCAGTTTGAGATGGATTCTGGTTAAGAATAAAGAAAAGCAAAAATATCAATATATAAAAAATATATATATTTTTTCAAATACAATTTTAAAGAATTATTAATATCTCTCTTGATAATTTAGAAAATTATTTATAAAAAAAAAATAAACAAGTCGGTGAACGAATGGGTAACACCCTCGATTCCCGACAGTCATGAACCATAATTTAATCCCGCGTTAACATTTTGTTTAATATGTGAATAACCTTCACTTGTTATTCATTGTTTCAATTATTATAAACTAGGTTGCTCTTGTTGAGCAGTACCTAATAAAGTGGTTTTGGAATTGGAATATTTATTTAAAAAAAGGTATATTGATAAAAATAAAAAAGAATATATATATATAGAACGAATAAAAAATAAAAAGAATGTTTTTATTTACAAGATTCTAAAAGAATCTCTGTGAAAAGAATTTTTTTTTATATTTCAGGAATGAATAAAGTTTAAGTGCGAGCTATTCCTGAAAAATTAATGTTTCAATTAATGAAAATGTTTATTATAATGAAAATTACTGATAAAATTCGACGACAAGGAGATGTATTTTTTAAAAAAACTTTTTTTCTGAAGTCTTTCAAAAGTCTTATGTATGAAGCAAAGAATTTTGAAGACTTTTCATAAGATATTATAGACTTTAAATATTATATCTTTAAATCCTCTTCTTTTTTTGAAATCTTGAAAACCTTTCTAGAAGTCTGAGAATCGAGTCTTTTTTTGCTTAAATCAAATAAATACTAAAGACAACGAAGGCCTTATAGAGTTGGCCAATATATAGGAGAGTCCTACATAAGCATGTACTGTAAAAATATAGAAATATTTGTGGTGAAAGGATGTCTCCAGGAAAAGAATGTGTGTCTAACTTGTTCCACCATATGTTGGGGGCGGGGTGCGGAATGTTATATGTGATCTCCCAAATTGTTACAATAGTTTCTCTCATGATTAGTAAAACTGGTTTGTTACACGACTCCTGTCTGTATGTCTTCTCTATATAACACACGCACACCTCTTGGTAACGATACAATTTACTTTTACATACACACACAAAGCTTTATTAAGACCACCGGTCTTATACAGATTCACCACAGGAAGGAAGCATAGATAGAGCTCCTATACTCCAGGTAGCGCAGCACCCAACAACAGCCTCCAGGTCCGACGTATGTGTCCAGTGACCACAGATTCACCACAGGAAGAAATAATAGATGGAGCTCCTATACTCCAGACAGCACAGAACCCAACAACAGCCTCCAGGTCCGACACATGTCCAGTGACCACAGATTCACCACAGGAAGGAAGCATAGATAGAGCTCCTATACTCCAGACAGCACAGAACCCAACAACAGCCTCCAGGTCCGACGTATGTCCAGTGACCACAGATTCACCACAGGAAGGAAGCATAGATAGAGCTCCTATACTCCAGGCAGCGCAGCACCCAACAACAGCCTCCAGGTCCGACGTATGTCCAGTGACCACAGATTCACCACAGGAAGAAATAATAGAGCTCCTATATTCCAGGCAGCGCAGCACCCAACAACAGCCTCCTGGTCCGACGTATGTCCAGTGACCACACGTTCCTTCGTGCATACGTCATGGTTAGCGAATCACTGAACAGGCTAGTGTGGAATCAGCCGCATTCCTCGTCCAAATGGACCACGGCATTCGGCGATTCTATTAATCTCCCCCAAACGGGATACAATTTACTTTTAGTGTTCTTACATCATATGATATTGTAGCTGTTAATTTGGTTCACTACAACGGACATCTTGATGGGTCTACTGTAGTAGTCGTTAGGGTGTACTGAATCAACTATATCACATGGAACATAATATGTCAGTAGCCGTCACGGTGTACTATAGCAGCCGTCGCGGTGTATTATAGTAGCCGTCGCGGTGTACTGTAGTAGCCGTCACGGTGTACTGTAGTAGCCGTCTCGGTGTACTATAGTAGCCGTCACAGTGTACTATAGTAGCCGTCACGGTGTACTATAATAGCCGTCACGGTGTACTGTAGTAGCCGTCTCGGTGTACTATAGTAGCCGTCACGGTGTACTATAGTAGCCGTCTCGGTGTACTATAGTAGCCGTCACGGTGTACTGTAGTAGCCGTTACAGTGTACTATAGCAGCCGTCACGGTGTACTGTAGTAGCCGTTACAGTGTACTATAGCAGCCGTCACGGTGTACTGTAGTAGCCGTTACAGTGTACTATAGTAGCCGTCACGGTGTACTATAGTAGCCGTCACGGTGTACTGTAGTAGCCGTTACAGTGTACTATAGCAGCCGTCACGGTGTACTGTAGTAGCCGTTACAGTGTACTATAGCAGCCGTCACGGTGTACTGTAGTAGCCGTCACGGTGTACTGTAGTAGCCGTCACGGTGTACTGTAGTAGCCGTTACAGTGTACTATAGCAGCCGTCACGGTGTACTGTAGTAGCCGTCACGGTGTACTGTAGTAGCCGTCACGGTGTACTGTAGTAGCCGTTACAGTGTACTATAGCAGCCGTCACGGTGTACTGTAGTAGCCGTCACGGTGTACTGTAGTAGCCGTTACAGTGTACTATAGCAGCCGTCACGGTGTACTGTAGTAGCCGTCACGGTGTACTGTAGTAGCCGTCACGGTGTACTGTAGTAGCCGTTACAGTGTACTATAGCAGCCGTCACGGTGTACTGTAGTAGCCGTCACGGTGTACTGTAGTAGCCGTCACGGTGTACTGTAGTAGCCGTCACGGTGTACTGTAGTAGCCGTCACGGTGTACTGTAGTAGCCGTCACGGTGTACTGTAGTAGCCGTAACGGTGTACTGTAGTAGCCGTCACGGTGTACTGTAGTAGCCGTTACAGTGTACTATAGCAGCCGTCACGGTGTACTGTAGTAGCCGTCACGGTGTACTGTAGTAGCCGTCACGGTGTACTGTAGTAGCCGTCACGGTGTACTGTAGTAGCCGTCACGGTGTACTGTAGTAGCCGTCACGGTGTACTATAGTAGCCGTCACGGTGTACTGTAGTAGCCGTCACGGTGTACTGTAGTAGCCGTTACAGTGTACTATAGCAGCCGTCACGGTGTACTGTAGTAGCCGTCACGGTGTACTGTAGTAGCCGTCACGGTGTACTGTAGTAGCCGTCACGGTGTACTGTAGTAGCCGTCACGGTGTACTGTAGTAGCCGTCACGGTGTACTGTAGTAGCCGTTACAGTGTACTATAGCAGCCGTCACGGTGTACTGTAGTAGCCGTCACGGTGTACTGTAGTAGCCGTCACAGTGTACCGTAGTAGCACTACTGCAGTAGTCACCTTGGTATACTGCAACAAAGATCACGATGCATTATATTATTCTTCTTGGAGTACTGCAGTAGTCATTTGGTGTACTGCATTTCTATTGTGCATTATTAACACTCATATTGGTATTCATTATCACAGGATTGAGGAATTCGAAAAATTACAATATATATTGTTACGTGTAAGGCCTCTAAACGATTAAAACCTCCGCCAATAGATGGCGCTTTCGCCGGATTCCCTTGCTGGCTGATGAGGGAGTCGCCGACTGCTGTGGTCCCGTTTCCTGGGGAGTTTGGATGTAAATACGCTTTTGTGTTGGCCCCAGGATGTAGGGTCATGTAAATACCCATTGTCTGTTGTTTTATTTAGATTTAATGTTAGTAATAGATTACAATAAAAAACAAGTGCTTCTAGTCTCCGTGTCGCCTCCTGTCGTTATTATCGCCACTGCCATCGTCACCGGGCTACTGCAGCTGCTACTACTCTTCTGGTAAGTCTCTCGTGTCCCCCCACCAGTGGTAAGGCCGAGAGATACTGCCAGAGGAAGGGAGTTTCCACAGGAGAGGTGGAACTCGGGAAGTCTTTGGGTGGCGTGCGGGAAAGGCCGCAAGGAAGAGCAACCGGAGCCCGAGTAGGTGAACCACGAACGGAAGAAGCGCGTTGTCGCAAAGAACCAGAGGGTAAACACGCGACAATATATAAAACGCCACAACTGGTTTTATTTATTTGATTAAAGGAAGCTTTCGGGCACATGCCCTTCTTCGGCTAACGAAAATGTATAAACAAGGAAACGGAGAGAGATTACAAGGTTGAGTCAAAGTGTAATACACAATCACCCCTACCAAAATATATAAATAATTTAATATCATAAAATACATGTTTTCTGATAAATAAAACACTCTGAATTTCATATCTACAATCAGAATTGATTTATCTTTTGTATTTTTTCATATATGGAGCTTAATTTGAACACAAGAATCCAACAACGGTCGGTGACCGAGTTCCTCTTTAAGTCCGGTGATATTTCAGCCACAAAAATGCGCTCAAAACTTCAGCCAGTATATGGAAACAAAACATTGGATAGAAGCACTATACAGAGATGGGTTCAGCGCTTCCAGAAAGGTGATTTTGATCTTCATGACAAAGAGAGGCCAGGTAAACCTTTAACTGTTACAACAGACCAAAATTTGGCTCTTGTTGAGGAAATTGTCAAGAATTCCCGGACAATAACGATATATTAATTGATGAAAACTTTCATTCTCTAAAGGAAGTGTTCTTAAGTTACTTTCAAATCTTGGCTATCGAAAATTGTGCTCAAAATGGGTGCAAAAGTTTCTAACACGAGAAATATATATATTTTTGCTTATCCCTAGTACACGTGGTACAGGCCATGATAATGATGGTGGGTAGAAAGAAGTAGGCGACTGCTTTTACTGTAAGTGCACCACATGTCTACACATGTGAAAAGCAGTTCGACTTTGCACTTACAAATGTGCCATAGCCCCGTTTGGCCACTTGCACTCGCTGGTGGGGTTGGACTTTTGCAAGAATCGGGGGCCATTGGAGCATTTTTTCTTTAATCAGAAAAAAAGGTGCCCAATGCGGGAATCGAACCCGGGTCGTAGTGGTCGAAAACCAATGGTTTAGACCATCCTTCCGCCGACCCCCACCTTAATAGCCTATAGCACCCGGTGTTCCCAGGTGGTCACCCCCCCCCCCCCAAGTACTAACCGACATTGCTTAACTTCGGTGATCGGACGAGAACCGATGTTTTCAATGTGGTATGGCCGCCATGAAATCTCGGAAAGAAATTTGTTTAGACCTCATCGAATCTTACCCAGGACCAGATTCTGAGGCCTTTAAAGGAGCCATAACGTGCGATGAGACTTGGGTTTATCATTATGACCCTTCTTTGAAGCGTCAATCAATGCAATAGACCCATAAAATGTCTCCAGTCAAGAAAACACAAAGGCTTTCCCTTTCCAAAGACAAAATCATGATCACGGTCTTTTGAGACCAAGATGGGCTCATATTCATGGACATGCTTGAAAAAAATACTTCCATCAACAAGGAAAGATATTTTGAATCATTAGAAAAGCTAAAAAGGGTCATTTCAACAAAAAGGCCGAGCCTAAAAGACTGTCAAATCAAATTTCATAAGGACAATGCAAGACCTCACACCGCGCAACAGACATTGGCTCCAATTTCCAGATATGTGTGGACTTTGATGCCTCACCCAGCTTACAGTCCTGACCTGGCTCCTTCCGACTTCTACCTGTTTGGTAAATTAAAGAATTCTCTACGCGGTAAAATATTTGAAAATGATGAAATGTTAATCCATGAAGTTAGATGGTGGTTCAGAAAGCAAGATGTAGCATTTTACCAAAGTTGTGAGTTGGAAAGAACGCTGGATCAAATGTGTACAGAGAGAAGGAGTATATATTGAATGATGTTGATATATAGCTAATAGTTAGGTATTCATATTTACAAAGTCCCATCTTTATGGTTTGTCAAATAGAAAAAAATTATTGATGATTGTGTATTACTAATTGACTAAACTTGTATATAGCATTTTTAATGAGGAATTCATGTCCTGTATTTACATAAATTCCTCTTTAAAAATGACATATAATCTCTCTCCATTACCTTGTTTATACGTTTTCGTTAGCTGAAGAAAGGCGTGTGCCCGAAAGCCTCATTTAATCAATTAAATATAAAAAGATTTGGGCGTCTCATATATTTTTTAATAAGTCATATTGGTATAATAACATCAGTCACACAAGTTGGTGAGCAGCATTTGTACTCCATGTTAGTCGCGGCTGTACATGGCGTCTGTTCCTAATGTCAGAGGCGGCCATTTCTTTTGGAGATAAGTCGGCCTGCCACTGAGTAGTGCTCCCAGTCTTAATGACAAAGGTAGAGGCATTCTACTTCACCCAGTGTGGAGATAAGTTGGCCTGTCATTGAGTAATGCTCCCAGTCTTAATGACAAAGGTAGACACATTCTACTTCACCCAGTCATGATGGTTGTCAAACAGACACCATCAAGGGTCACAACTTGATACCCTAATATGATGGATTGGAGATAAGAAAGAAGAAGACACATGTTGGTTTAGTATAAATCTGTCTTCTTGATAAATTTTATACCAGGGAAGGTACGAAGTTTCTTTGCTGTGACGTCATTCTGATAAATTTCCATCAACCAACCAAAGAACGAACTTTTTACATAGGCGGCGGGAGAAATAAATACGAAGATTCTTCACTTCCGACTTAAGAGAAATCTCAATCGTCAACAACTTCCGCTTGGCGGCGCTAGCTGTTAGCGTGCCGTAATGGCGAGGCGTTGTAAACAAGTTTTTGATCATTGTTTTATAGATGTGTTCAATTCTTTCTACATTATATTTTGCACTTAATATTTCTAATACTTTTTACTTAATGTTTATCACCCAAATATTCTTTTGAAATGTACCGATAAAGACGTTGAATATAAACATAACTAGATGTTTATAAGAAAAAATAATATACGAGGTTGTCCCAAAAGTTCGTGTTTTTCTTAAAACGTTGTCATATTACTTGGCGAATAATATAATTACGGCGAATACATAATAATACAATTACTTTATACATAATACAAATATATTATACATATCGGCAAATAATATTATCAAATAATATTGGTATTTTTTGCAAGTGTTTACGAACTTTTGGGATAACCTTGTATTATAATTAATATCTAATTATATTGAATCTCAATATATAAAGATGAATGCTTGAATATAAAAACTAATCAACGCTACAAGATAACTATCAGCAAGGTGGTTGTTGAGCTATGTCATTTCTCTATAGAAGACCAAAAAAAATGGCGATTAGGCCTAGCTTTACGCTGAGTAATCATTCAGCGGAACATGTCATCAAACTCATTGCTGAAAATAGTATCTAACCTAATTATATATTGGAACCACAATTTATAACTCTTTATGAAAACTAATATGAAAAATAATAATAAATAAAGCTTTTAAATAATTGTATGCTTTTTATTATCATTTGTATATATATATAAAGGTATTTATTCTGTATATTTATGTATATATAAGAATTATTTTCAAAAGAATATAAATTACAATAAGTATATAAAGCCTTTTTTAACATACCTGTATAAAAAAATCACAGAAAATATGCACACAAAAAAAATGTCTTGAGCGACATGTTTGGTTTGTTTAGGTATATGATAATGTTGGGGAATGACTTGATAGAAAGTTTAATCCTGCATAAAAACGATTAACATATGTGGAAAGTACTTTGTCCACATGTCGAGAGGAATGCCTTCCGTATTCTGAGATGCTAATTGTGTAATTTTTCTTTGATATTCTGTAGGCATTTTGTAGATTTCTGCTTCTGTGACTCTGCAGATGCGACCGTTGGTTTGATTCTGTATTAATACACGTCGTCCAGGTCTAGTTTCCATGATGTAACAGACGTGCATTTTGTGATTAGAGTCCACCATAAGAACTTCTTCTCCGATATCGAATTTAGGTTGAATCTTTGCCGATTTTACCTTTGTAGTCAGTAGATTGGTGCATTTGTCAGGTTGATCATTGTACCGCTCGAAATGTACGCGAAATTTCTGTCCATGTGCTTCAACGATATACTGAGATGATTCGTAGTTCTCTTGAGTTACAAAATGTGACCTAATATCGTTTTCTAAACTTGCTTCGTCTGCAATAATGCTACCAGACAATGTAGAATCTGTTGATTTCTGCGATGAAAATCCTGAATCTATTGTCCCAGAAGTAATGGAAGAATTGTTATCACTTTCATCTTCTTCTCTCTTCTCAAAAATATCGTTAAAGCTATCCATTGGATTATGAGAACAGTCAATTTCTATACTTTCGTCTGAATCACTTTCCATCTCAAATATTTCCTCTAATTCTGTAACTATTTTGACTGTTTTCATCTTCTTAATAGGCTTCTGAATATTTAACTGTTTCTTGTGGGGCTCTTCATTTGATTTTCTTTCTGAATTCAAAACAATTCGATTCCTTTTCATATTCGCAAAAAAAAATTATTTATTGATATTATTATATTAATAGGAAGTACTAAAAAAACGTGAGTTTTTAAAGTATAAAATGTCGATTCAAATATAGTTTATTTAGTATAATCGTTCTAAAAACGCAAATATTTACAAAAAGTTCCGCTTTTAAATTGTAAACAAGCAACGGTTTCTCAATATAGCACTAAATTGAATGTTACGAAATCCAAAAATTCAATGAAATAAATATGTGTGCTTGAATAATTGAACCTTTCAAATATGTTTATTATTAAAATATTACATCATAAATGTGAATATTTAAATTATATATTTATTATGAATATATTTTAAAACATATATTTTTGTGCGATTCGTTTCTCTTAATGAATTGGAACGAAAAGGGAACAAAATCAACGATAAAACATTAACAACTTCTACATTTTGAAAATTAATGTTTAAAAAGAAAGGTTTTAATATAATGTTACTATTCCTTTACGCTCCTGGAAGCCGGAGGTTTATTTCAACGCGTATTTAATGCTGTATAATAATGACTCTTGGCACCCCCTTGAACAAATTTTTACTAGAATAAGAGAAAAAAGTAAATTTTACTCTGTGAACCTATTTGAAAAATTGCTGACCATAAATTATTGAATTTGATTCTTGTCAATTGGTCCTTGTGCCATGACGATATGGCTATCAAGAAATTCTTTGCCATTTTATAGAGGCCTGCAAGTCATTCTTGCAGCTATTCTTCACTGGAATAAATAATAAACATAAAATCCTTTATAAACGTTTACCTGGCTGCATAAAATGGCTGTTATTAGGTTTATAAACTAAAAAGAAAACTTACTGTTCTTTTTTTTATTTAAAGGACTCAAAATCCTTTTTTTTTTTTTTTGCTTATCAAAAAAAAAAAAAAGAGGGGGGGGGGAGGTGAGCAGTTTCTACTATAAGTAAAAGAGATGTTTGAAAAATTTTGTCAATATGGAGATTTTATATGATAAGAAGGGTTAATGAAGAAAGTCCATCATCTGCTGACAAGGACTTCTGAGAACTTTAAAATTGAAACTGATCATATAAATTCACTCTAGAAGTTGCTGAATATTGATAGTATCATATTTTATTTTTTTAATACATTAAAATCTCTAATAAACATCTAGCAAGCGAGCATCTTCCTAAGCAATAACAGTTTCCAATGAACGACCACCTCAAGGAGAGATGAATGTTTTTATTAATATTGTATTAATAATACAAATAACACAATTCTAATTGTATGTCTTGTTTACCTCTTTGTTAGTTTCTTTCTTATCTTTCAATCATATAAAGGTGCCAAGTTCCGGCTGATAGTACCCTGTAAGGGCTCCTGATACAGGATGAGCAGCGTCTGTACTCCATATTAGGAACGGCTGCACATGGCATCTGTTCCTCATGTCAGAGGCGGCCATTTCTTTTGGAGCTAAGTCGGCCTGCCACTGAGTAGTGCTCCCAGTCTCAATTACAAAGGCAGACGCATTCTACTTCACCCAGTCATGATGGTTGTCAAACAGACACCATCAAGGGTCACAACTTGATACCCTAATATGATTGAGCGGAGATAAGAAAGAAGATGATGATTAAGAGAAGTGCCTGGTATAGTCATTAAGATTGAGAGAACTCCTTGCAGGCCTAGATAATAAATGGCTACACACCTCTGATATGAGGAAAATACGCCATGTTAAACTGCTCCTAACTTGGAGAACAGATGCGACTCATATGTGGCCCT